GCTCTGCAGGGTGAATGCCCCTCGCCCAGCATGGGCACAGGTGGGGTTATTGGGTGACTGGACCCAGCCTAGCCGGGCCTTGGTTAGCCCAGAGGGACGAAGGTCACAACCTGGTCCACCTGGTCAGCCCAGATCCCCCAGCCCCATCCCTCAGCGCTCGCTTTGTCCCAGTTCAGGTGTGCACCAGAGCCCTCCGCAGCCCCCGGCCTTTGCCCCGAGCTGGTGTGGGGCCCGCAGTGCCCAGTGGCTGGTGTCAAAGGCCCAGTGGTCTCTCAGCTCCACTGATCCAGGCAGCCGGGAGCTGCTCACGCCTGCGTGCCCCGGCAGCACACAGCCTGCCCCCGCCCGCCCCGCTGAGGCTGCGGCTCACCGTGGAAACCGAGGCACACACAGGCCTCATAAAAACAGCACACGCAATTCCCACACCGGGGCTGCCCCGCTCCCGCCCCATGTGCTTGGCAGCAGTGGAAGTCCCCACTGGTGTCATGGGGTTCACGGCTGGGCAGCTCCCCATGCCCAGGCCGTGTGCAGATCCAGGCAGAGCCCTGCCCGCGTTACAGGGCTGGGTTCGTGCGGGCTCACAGACAGCAGGGCACGGCTGGGAGTACTGGGTGTGCAGGGGGGGAGCTGGCCTGCGACCCCCAGGCCGGCCGAGCAGCTCCCAGGACAGCAGCCGTGTGTCCGCGCCGCAGGCAGCCGGGGAACATTGCAGCTTGTTAGGATCAATTAGTGCTGAGCGAGCGCTGGAGGCCCCGGCCTGGTGCCAGGCCCGCTCCCGAGCAGGGCGCCACGGCTCATGCCAAGGAGCCCCTGGCACTTGACGGCCTGGGCGCCTGCCCCCCCTCGGCCCCAGGCGGGCAGGGCGGACAGCGGCTGCTGCCCTGGCACAAGCCCTGGCGAGGGCCGCTCCAGGGACCGGGCTGCCCGCGGCCCCGCTGGGCCGCTCTGGGGACTCGCGCTGGTCCCTGCTGCTGGCCCCACAGACCCAGGCCAGGGGCTGCTCCCCCTCCCCCCACGGCTTGTGCAGTGGGACCTCCCTGCTGTGCGGAGAGGACCAAGAGGCAGGGGCCACCGCTGGGTGTGCCCAGAGAGCAGGGGATGCCCCTTCCCACCCCACCTGGGCCCACAATACCTGCCATCCCCCAACCCCCGTTCCCCTCCCCGCTGCACCCCACCCATAACTCCCCTG